CAGATAAAACGCATAAACTTCGCCTGAAGCAACCGAAGAAAATGAGGGGGAACCCGCACTGGGAGGGTGCGAAAATAATATAACAATTTCGGCAAGATGGTCATTTTCACTGAATGAACCCGTCCTATCCAAGACAGGTGCGGAAAATGCCAGGAATGCATAAGAGAAGATAAGGAGCTAAGCAAAGGATAATAATTTGCAGCAAAAGGGAGTCATAGGTGGGGGTCAAGCGAATGCCACCTAGTGGCATGTTTTGAGATGACAACTACCTATCCAGTGACCTACTTCCAGAGTACTAGGAGTAGGTCTTAATTACTCCATGCTTCATTTGCATATGCATCCGGTTAGTGCAATCTACTCTCAGTTTATTACCACAAGAGTCACGAGCATTCCAGTCTTCCAGATGCCGATACATCACAGAAGTCACGTTAATACGTTATGATAACCTAGAAGCTTCATATCATATCTGATTTTTTTAGTATTTGTTATCTACTCATTTATGTTTAATCTTATAGCGCTGCATATTTTTATCGTTTATAGGCCCTTGTGATTGTCCTTATGTGAAGCTGCAAATGTAAAAGTTCCTTAGCTATGGCTAGTAATGCTTTCTGGGATGTGTTGACAGCTTGTGATATACTGTATATTGTAGGGCATGGTCCAATTTAATTAAGAGGAATAAAGATATATAAAATGTTATCTATCGCTACCCATAGGATTTCACTTTTTATTTACTGAGGTGTGTAAACTAATGAAAGATAGTTGCTGATTGACTATAATGGTTTCTGCACTTTGCTGTGCTGCAATAAGAACATGAAAGAGAACATGAACTTGCTTTAAGTTATGCTCACAGCACAGATAGGTACCCAGAGTCTTCCTGCACTACTGAGCTCATTCATGGTTTTTCTGTAGCCGCAGTGTGTTTCTGCAGGGTACAGACACTATCTGATACACACACTGTAAGCACTGGGTACAAATGTTTAGGTTTTTTTTCATTCATTCGGTGGGCTGAAAGGAGAGAAAAAAATATAGATTCCTGCCTCCACACAAGAGATGTGGATGCAGGAATCCTCCCCTGCTGGGACATTGTATTCTGACAGCGGGGACCCTCTGCTGTCAGAAAACAGTGATCAGTGCTACAGCCGATTGGCTGAAAGCTGCGGATAGAAGAAGATTTTCCAACAGTCCTGTTCGACAGAAGCCGATCTAATGATCGTGTTTTGTTTAACAGGTAGGGCTACATGCAGTTTGAAATTTGCTGGTCCCTGCTGAACCGAACTTCAATCCGTGTGTCCCCAGCTGAAGACAGACTAACGCAGCCCCTAGCCACTTGCACTGGATGTGGGAATCCTTCCCGCTGAACTATTGTTTTCTGACAGTGGGGAGACTTCCCCACTGTCAGAATATACTGATCAGAATTGCAGGCTATACCCTGATCGAGCGGAGAGATCTGAAAGGGCAGTTGTACAGAAGTCCATTGGCTCATACAAGAATCAAAATTCAACCAGTCCCTGCTGAATTGGCCAAATTTTGATCCATGTATTGCCAGCTTAATAAATGAATACTGGTGCAATTTCAGCCAGATGAAGGTTAAGCTACCAGTATGTTTTGCCACTGTGGGAGTTAACAGGGGCAATCAGAGATAATCCATGGAAACACAGGAAGTACATATAAACTTTGGTAGACAATGTCACGTTTATATATAGCAAACCTTTACAAACCAAATAAATATGTGTTTTTTTCTTACAAATCAGTTTGTATTCTCCCATGCAGTCATCATTTTTAAAATTCCTGCCTGCAGTTTGAAGAAACACCACTAGATGTCACCAACATTTCTGTCAGAAGCTTTCATGCTACTAATAAAGCTAAACTGCAAGTAGGCCTATGAGGTTGATTCAGGACTTGTTCAGTTTTTGGGGCGCCTTTGTAAATTTTGCTGCACTCTCCACTGCAGGATAAATGCTTCTCAAGATCTAAGTGTATAATTCTTCCCATAAATGCACTGCAGTGAGACGGAAAGGAAACTGTATGGGGTCCTTCGCAATGCATTTTAAGACATCTAAAGTTTGCATTGTTTTGTTTGTAAAGTTTAAAAAGTAATCATAAACTCTAGGCAAAACTATTCAAACCATCTAAAATGCTTATGTTTTATGTTGTTTTTTTATGCAAAGGGACATGGCAGGGCGCCAGATCAGCGTGAGTAGAAACAGTAGAACTTTATTCAAAGAGCACTTACATTTAAAACCTCCACGGTCAGCGTCCTGGGTCAATACAATGTACAGAGACATCTCTCTCCAGGGTGGTGGAGCCGACAATTGCTACAGGGCATAAAGAGAGACCCACTGGAGATGGAAGTCTGCAGCGTCTCTCCGTGAGCTCCCGCAGCTTGGTAGAAGGAGGCAGAGCTTTGGAAACGCATTGTGGCCCACCCACCTATCACTCACAGTACCTGTCAGTAACCCCGGCCATCCAGCGGGAGCTTACGGAGAGATGCCACGGACTTCCATCTCCAGGGGGTTTCTCTTTATGCCCTGTACCGATTGTCGGTTCCACCACCCTGGAGAGAACTGTCTCTGCACATTGTACTGACCCAGGACGCTGACTGTGGAGTTTTAAATGTAAGTGCTCTTTGAATAAAGTTCTACTATTTTTACTCACGCTGACCTGGCTCCCTGCTGTGTTCCTTTTGCATGCCTTCTGAGCAGGGGCGGACTGACCATTTGGAAACTCGGGCACTGCCCGAGGGCCCGGGGTCAGTAGGGGGCCCCATGAGATGCCCCTGGTACCTTTTTCATAGGCTTTTTTGAGTTTGGGCAAGGACACGGGGCCCCATGATCCCCTATTGCCCGGGGGCCCCATGAGTTGTCAGTCCGCCCCTGCTTCTGAGGGATTCCCCACATCCTTGGCAAGGAGCTGCCGGTGATTGTGTGTGCCTTAGCCCCTTCATCATCCACACATTTCCTCATTCAACTACCACCCAGAAGGACTGTTTAACAAAAGCAAAACAGGGCGCACTCTCTTCGTGCATTAAACATAGTAAACCAAGAATTTAATATGAAGCATAAAAATGCATACTCACAAACCAAAGGGGGGTAAAAACAGACAAGAAGAGTCCATAATGACAGTCTGAAGTAACGATAGACCCTTAGTCAGGTTAGAGTTTGTCTCCCGAAACACGTTAGCATACCTCACTAGGGGTCTATCGCGCTGTTTTGCTTTTGTTCACCAGTATCAAGATTTCCCGATCTTTAAGGGCTTCACCTCTACGAATGACAGTTTCAGTCTGCATGACGATTAGGCGCTGGTCCCATTTGTTCAGAAGGACTGTTTACTTGACATATGCTGATTCTTGCATGTTTGCTAGTTTTGTTACATTGTATCCGGTGACATTTTTTTTACTTATTTGCCAGCTTATGTGGACCCTTTTATTTGTTCAGCATTCACATCATATTCCACAATCATTAGAGCACTGGATATGCTTGTAATTTTTACAAGGTGTTATATATGGTATTGCGTTTTATGTCTTTTAGCATTAGATTCTGAAAATCATGCTTGATGCATGTGGAATGTGAGGTTTGTATTGACCATAAACAGAACTAGTCTATTGTTGGCGCTATATAAATCCTGTATAATATAATAATAATTTTACAAATGCAGAAGCATAGCAACAAGGGTTACTTTAATAGCTCACACGCCAGCTTTTGATGTATACTGGTGCCACATTGCTGAAGTGGAGTGAGTTCCAGGCTCCCCTTATATCTCTTTGCTCTTAGCAAGGGGCTAATTCATCTGCAAACAGGGTGCACATAAGATGGGTCCAGGGGCGGACTGACAACTCATGGGGCCCCCGGGCAATAGGGGATCATGGGGCCCCTGTGTCCTTGCCCAAACTCAAAAAAGCCTATGAAAAAGGTACCAGGGGCATCTCATGGGGCCCCCTACTGACCCCGGGCCCTCAGGCAGTGCCCGAGTTTCCAAATGGTCAGTCCGCCCCTGGATGGGTCAATGTTATTTTGACTTGCATAAGCAAAGCAAATGTTAGCTTTAACGTCAACCTGTATTTTGCCCATGCTGGACAAAATAACAGGTTCTGTCTGCTGTATGGAGCATACATACTTACCTTGCATTCATACAGCCAATCTTCCCAAGTTTGGACTAGCAATTGGCTTCTAAGATATTGAACACTGGGCAGTAAAGAAACAGAGGCATTGTTACATGTTCCCCAAAACTACCTGGTTTGCAGCAGATGGCAGTGAGAGAAAATGAGGAATAAAAATAATAGCACTGTATGATCCATACAATTAAAGGGAACCAATTACTGTGCCCAGTATAAGAAAAAATACAGGTTTACGTAAACCTGATCTGAGACTAACCTGAAACTGATCTCAAATGCCTATGTATAGAATGTGTTGATGGACACCAACATATATTTATTGTGGGATTTCAATAGATAGATTTATTTGGCCAGTTTACAAAATGGCACGTAACAAATTAAATGAAAACATGCTGAAACAAACACTCTGGAAAGTTTTCTGCTTGGCAAGGACCCAGTACTGCCCACCCTCCCACCTCCTTTCTGCAATCAGTTGTGTTTGTCTATATAATTTGTTTTAGTTTTGGATGAGTAAGGAAGGGTTAGAACACCTACTACTATTAAGATCTCTGTTAGAGAGATTTCAAAATACTTACTGTCACAGTAAGAAGGGTTTCACCAGACAGGAAGTGAAAGTAAATTTTCAATAGGGACACAGGCAGAAAATAAAAAAAAAACTAAGAAGGGTTTTCACCTTCTCCTACTCTACTAAAAACCAGCAGTTTTAGTTCTATCCATGTTGCAGATTTTTCTCTCACCTTTTGAAACCATTGTCACATGGAAAGGAAAACCCTCTAAAGGAGCCCCATATAGCAGTAAACACTAAACCGAGTATACATGGAGAACCACCGTGACCTGCCCAACAATTGCATGTCTATGGCTACATTTAGAAAGAAGACATGTGACATACCTGTCAAGTAAATGACTTGTGACTTGAAAAAGAGAGGCTCTGGTAAACACGGGGCTACTGCAATTACAGGAGACAGAATGGTTGCTACCTTTTCTAGGAACGGTGATATGGTTTGCCCTGGGGATGCAGGCTGCAGAAAAATAGACAATTATGCAGTTATTCTTTGAGGAGCTTGTGAACATAAAGACATTTAAAATTAGAGATAAAGCATACAGTATATTCTGTGAGTACATATGTTAAGTGTCAGTAATGATCTGTTTATTCTTCTGTACTTGTTAAGGTACTCTTATATAGAAATGTTATGTGGAATTCTTTTATGCAATTTTATTTTATTCAATTTACATTTTTGCTTTCAAGGACAACTGTACCTTTGGTACAATTTATACAAATGTCCTTTAAAAAAATTCCCCCCATCCCTCTGTGTGCTTCCCACCTGGACAAATACTTACCTTCCTTCCTCTGATGATCTTTGCTGTGTGGCCCTGTCTAGATCCACACAGACCTCCCTACGAAGACATCCTCTTTATTCTGCACATCTGCACCATTCATTTGAAAAAGCAAGTTGTACTCTCCTGGGCCACTTCAGATGGTACTGTTGTGCTTCTGATTTTATGTTGCATATACTGTAAGTATAGCTTGTGATTAAAGCAGAAGTAAACTTTGGTAAAAAAAAATTCTCCCTCCAAGGCAATATCATAAATGTACTAGTATGCATCGCATGCTAGTACACTATGAAAGACTTACCTTAAAATGAAGCCCTCCAATGGTGCTCTGCCAACTCTAACAGGGCTTCCATCTTCACCCAGTCTTCCTTTAGGGTTTGCGGGCTCAGGCTGTTTGAATGGCCGAGCCACAATGACATCACTGCTGCGTATGCACATGAGAGTTACAGCTGTGGCGTAGAGCTCTGAAGGCATGGCATAAGTAAGCCGTCCCTTCAGAATGCATGCGTCAGTGACGGCATTGGCTGCAGAAAGAGTGAATATCTCTTTAACAGTGCATATTTAGGAGATATTCTTTGTAACTACAGGTAAGCTTTGTTATAAACTTACCTGTAGGTACAAGTGCCCAAGCGGTGTTTACTACCGCTTTAAATACTTACAGAACAGCTCCCCTATGTTGTGAAGATGAAGGGGGGGGGGGGGTGTTCTGTAGTTCAGCAAAAGGCAACTGGGCAGAGAAGAAATCATGCCTTCAATTTTCTGTTCAGTAAAGGTTCTATGTTGTCAGCCCACAACAGGAAATTAGTAGCGAAGTGCAAGATCAATAGGTATTCTGTACTGTGCAGGAATAAAACTTTCAGAGATGTACTGCATATGTTTTTTTATTTATTATGCCCTGACACTAGTAAATAGGTGGAGTAGGAAATAATTAGAACTAGACAAATCTTGTGAATTTCCATCAAAAAATAGTGGTGAAGTTCCATAAAAGCAACTTTTACCTGCTTTGGACAAAATTCCAAATACATTTTCACAACATCAACAATAAACGTGGGGTCCAATTTTTCTAAGTATTCCACCCCCAGGGGAAGACTGTTTAATGTGGCAAAGTGCATCTCCAATGATTCTCTCAGATGGTCTAATATAATCTTCTCTTCTTTTCCCTTCTTGGATGCAAGGACAGCTTCCACATAGCATAACTCCTGCAAAAAGAAGCACATACTTTATATACTGTAACCACTGGTACAGACTTCTAGGTATACAGCAGTAGCTACAACTGCTTGCTCAAAACTGTACAATATGTTACACAGAACACAGCTACTCCTGCTAAATGTTAAATGATCAGCAGCCTATAGGTCTCATCAGACCACAGGACGTGGTTCCAGCAATCCATGTCCTTAGTCTGCTTGTCTTCAGCAAACTGTTTGCGGGCTTTCTTGTGCATCATCTTTAGAAGAGGCTTCCTTCTGGGATGACAGCCATGTAGACCAATTTGATACAGTGTGCGGCGTATGGTCTGAGCACTGACAGGCTGACCCTCCATCCCTTCAACCTCTGCAGCAATGCTGGCAGCACTCATACGTCTATTTCCCAAAGACAACCACTGGATATGATGCTGAGCACATGCACTCAACTTCTTTGGTCGACCATGGTGAGGCCTGTTCTGAGTGCAACCTGTCCTGTTAAACTGCTGTATAGTCCTGGCCATCATGCTGCAGCTCAGTTTCAGGGTCTTGGCAATCTTCTTATAGCCTAGGCCATCTTTATGTAGAGCAACAATTCTTTTTTTCAGATCCTCAGAGAGTTCTTTGCCATGAGGTGCCATGTTGAACTTCCAGTGACCAGTATGAGAGAGTGAGAGCGATAACACCAAACTTAACACAACTACTCCCCATTCACACCGGAGACCTTGTAACACTAACGAGTCACATGACACCGGGGAGGGAAAATGGCTAATTGGGCCCAATTTGGGACATTTTCACTTAGGGGTGTACTCACTTTTGTTGCCAGAGGTTTAGACATTAATGGCTGTGTGTTGAGTTATTTTAAGGGGACAGCAAATTTACACTGTTATACAAGCTGTACACTCACTACTTTACATTGTAGCAAAGTATCATTTCTTCAGTGTTGTCACATGAAAAGAAAGAATAACATATTTACAAAAATGTGAGGGGTGTACTCACTTCTGTGAGATGCTGTAGATGTTTATTTACCTTTGATCTTCCCAGTGATTGCTGCACCTCACGCAGGAAATCCAGCTGCTGTTCTGCATCTTCCAGGTTGTTTTGGAGTATCTGGCACCATATAATACCTAGAACATATAGAAAAACATGGGTTCTGCTTACCTACAACAACACCTTAAATTGTAAGTGATGGGTTATGTTATCTCCCCAAATTACTAAAAGAAAGGTTGTGCATGTGACGTTTATGGGATTTCTTTTTTGTTTTACAACCTCCATTCTCTTGTTTTATCTTTCTTTCCCTCTCCCCCTTTTTTTTGCTCCCGTTTTCCCTCTTGCTGGCGTTGTGATAACCAAGCATCACATACAGAGAGTGTCCTACAGTTTACTGTTTTGGCTTTGCAGTTATGCTCATAAAGCAACAATATTAAACTGAAGCTCATGCAGTATGTACTGTAATACCCTCCAAAATAAATGTCCTTGGCTACCCCTCAAAACATAATACACGCCTAAAGTGTTACTAAACACACAACAGTAAAATCAGTCTGTGTATGCAGTAAAGCATGCTTGTTATACTCACTGTGGAACCTAAGGGGTTAATCCTCTGCATTGTGTAAAAAGGATGTTTGATTCTGTTTTCTCTGATCCTCCCCTTCTTCCACTGTTCCCATTCCATCTGCTGATAGAACAGAGCCTTGGGGGCAAGCTGCACATGCCTAGTTTGGTGTGTATTGCTAGGGAGTTTTTTTTTCTTGGGAGAGTGCATGTGATCAGCACAGGGCCAATCAGCACTGCTTGCTCAGACAGAGGGTCAGGGGTCCTGCAGCCTCATAGCACAATCAGGGGAGAAAGAAAACTCTTCCTATAAGCTTTAACCAGTGACCTTGATATAGTGAAGGTTGCAATGCTGGTTCAGAGCTGGAAACACCTGAGCCCGAGAGTGGGATTAATGCTAAACTAGTTAATAAAATATATGCTTTTTCTGATTGTGATTAAACAAATATCCAACAGGGGATTGATCCCACTGAAAAAAATTATGATCCTTATTGTTGTTTAATATCTTTATTATGCTATTCATAATTTTAAAAAAATGAAATTCTGAACCATTTCTTTTCATTGTGGCCCTCAACCAGTTACCAAATCACTTAAGTGCCCGGTCACACCGATGCGATTACAGGTGCAATTTGCGATTAAATTTGCATCTAATGAATGTGAATGTCAATGTCTTAACATGTGCTATTTGCTGCAATTTCTAAAGTAGTTCTTGCATTACTTTTTCTGCAGTTTTGTTGCGATTTTACATACATAGAATATAATGGAAATCGCAATGCAAATTGGAAGAAATTGTTGAAAATCTTAACAAGTAGCAATAAAAGTCTTCAGAAATCGCACCTGAAATCACGCTGAAATTGCACACAAATTGCGTGATTTTAAATTGAAGCGGTGTGACCGGTGACTAAGCCCTGGTTCACACTGACGCGATTTCATGTGCGATTTGGGTATTGAAATCATACCTGAAATCAGATCTAATGAACGTGAATGTGAGTGTCTTAACATTTGTGATTTGCTGCAGTGCGATTTCAGAAGTAGTTCTTGTATTACTTTTGCTGCAGTTTATTGCGATTTCACATACATAGACTACAATAGAAATCGCAAAACGCAAGAGTATCTAAATTTGTGACATTTGTGATAATTTTTATTAACCCTTTCCTAGTTTTCTCCTGCTGTTCAAGCCTGACCGCCACATTGTTCCTCCATGTGACTAGTACAGCCCCAGCCCACATTCCCTCTGATGTCCCCTCTAACAAGTAGCAGAGCATGGAAATTGCAAGAAATCACCAGAAAACACAATGGAAAATGCAAGAAATCATTGGGAAATCTTCACAAGTTGCAAACATATCTTCACAAAAGGGGTGAATTTGCAAACAAAATGCACGATTTTAAATCGCAATCAAGTGTGAACCAAGCCTAAGGGGCCCTCACACTTCAAAAGGTTGAGCACCCCTGGTGTAATTCCTCTTTTTTTTTAACCACTTCCAGTCCGGACACTTTTACCCCCTTCCTGTCCAGGCCAATTTTTACAGATTTCTTTGTTGTACTGTGCCATGTATTGTCCCCCCCTATTGCAGATAGCAAACCCTCATATAACGTTGAATAATAATAATAATAATTGCGCGGTCATGCAACACTGTACCCATATGAATTTTTTAGCATTTTTTTTTAGACAGATAAAGCTTTATTTTGGTGGTATTTAATCACCACTGGGATTTTTATTTCTTTTTACACTGATTGCTTTTACACCCATAAAGGCTGTAAAAGCAATCATTTCTCTTTCTCTCTGGCTGCATTCTTGCAGCCACTGAGAACTACTGTGTGAGCTGTGATTGGTCACAGCTTGTCACATGGTACAAGGCTGTTGTGAATAGCCTTGTACCATGTGACCTCTGTGATCATTCACAGATTTCACACGTAGTAAGCAATGATGTCAGAAGTGACATCTTGCTTACTACTCTGCATGTGATCACTGATTGGCCAATCAGTGATTCCATGATCGGGACCTCGCAGAGAGGTCCTGTACAACGATCAGTGTTCCACTGTGCCTGGAAGACACAGTGGGCACTGGATCGCGGTGCTGCACGCTCCCCAGGGAGCGCGCACAAGCAGGGTGCGGGGAGGCCGTTTATAAACATCCACCTGACCCTGCACTGCCACCGTCCAACCGTTTATATACAACAGTCGGACGGGAGGTGGTTAATTAAAAACTGTTGCTACAGCTGTTCAAGCACCCAGTGTTAAACTTTGTCCCAACTTTTTTAAGTGTCAGTTTTCCTGGACAGCACGGCCTGCATGAAAAATGTAGGCCATGTGAAAAAAAATTTAATTAGTATACTAACTGCTATCTTTACATGACAGTGGTCCTTCAATATACCTTCTTGAAATACCAAGCATTTGCTTGTTTTAGACTAATTTCATTAGGCTGCATCCATGACACTGAGACATGAGAGTAACTGTCACTATGACAAATAACAATTGTTATAAGTTACTATATTGCACTTATGATTATATACAGCTACACACCTGTAAGGGCTTCTACATGATTTACATCCAGCTTCATAGCAGCAGAATACCAGTTAGCAGCTTCAGACACATTGCCTTGATACATGTGCAGTTTGCCCAGATCTACAGCAAGCTCAGCATGTTCAGGAGATTTATTGTACGTGCGCTCCAGGAACCCAGAGATCTCTTGTAGAATTGATCTGTTCCTTCCACACTGTAGAGGAAATTATACTTTTAAAAAGGCACGTGCCCGCAAGAAAGGAATGATAGGAGAAGACAGCAATTCACTGACTTAACCTGTTAGGCCTCATTCACATGGGCAGCAGTAAAAACAGGCAGTTGATCTGTGTTTTTTACGCCCCTCTAAACTGTACAATGGTGGATTGCCCAGGCCAGGATGCTTTAGTTCGCAGAGGAGCAGCAAAAAATTATACAGCATGTGGCCTCAGTCACATGTGTGCCACTTTCTACCACAATCTCTGGTTGATTGCTTTTCAGAGGGTGGTAGAGCAGCAGCTGTCAGGCATTCATTATTCAATCCCGTCACCTGTTGAATGCCCATTTTTTTAAAATCTTAACAGGGATTTTCTATTGAAATACCTCACGCAACTGCAACCAATAGTTTAGCTCATGGTTTTGGCCCCATTCACATGGATGGGTTGCATTTGGTGGTAGTACTGCCTGCCCAATGTAATGTGCTGTATAATTTTTGCTGCACCACAGCAATATACACTACCCCCTCTGGCTGCTATTACACAATTGAGGTGGGTGGTTGAGGGGCTGTAAAAATGTAAATAAAGCGCCTGTTTTACTGCCCCTGATCCCCATGTGGACAAGGCCTGTCATAGTTGGTGGTCAGTACCACCGTCAATTGCAATCCATTCAGATAAATTGTGCCAGAGAAGCAAGCGCAAGCCAAACACTTGGTTTAGGGTTGCAGAAGAGTAAACAAATCCTTGTACAGCTGAGAAAAAAAAAGAGTATTCAGGAGACGGTAGTATTGCTTCCTGAATGCCTGGCAGCCACTGCTCTATCCCTCCTGAAACGCAATCCACCACATTTTCAGAGGAGAGCATCATCAATATAAACAAAAAAGTCATGTAATGATAATTTCAATGTTGGTAAGCCATGTTGAATAACCATCCAACGTGTCCAGGACAAAGATTGTGTAAAGAGCTCCCAAGTGTGTCATGCTTACAGAGACTAACACTGTCTACATGGCTTATTGGCCCCTTCTGATCAGATGGCATATCTTCACTAATGGGGCCACAATGGCACCTGCCTTGAGCTAACAAAACCATCCAGTCCACCATCAGTCTTGTAAGAAATGAAGTACAGATTGTGGTACCCACCTTTTAAATGTAGCCAAAGCCTGTATCCCATTGAAATGGAAAGACCCAACCCCCTGTCCATTGCACTCTGGTTTCACAAAGTTGAGGACAGGAATCACATGGAAGACTTTTGGCCAGCAATAAACATGATACTTACAAGACCTGGTTCCACTGGAACTGTTATATCTTTTTCAAAAGAAGGGAAGGCCCCACCAGCAGAGGACCACTTCCCTCCAGCTGGAGACCCTCCATCTATCTAGACTGCCCCCCCGCCCGAAGGAACAAAGATCCCCTTTACCCCTCCTCATAACCCCCACACTTTTTTTTCTTTCTTCCACCTCTCCCCCCTTTGCCTTTTTTAGCACTTACATGGATGCACTGAGCAGGCTAGATACTGAGGCATGAGAATCAGAAAAGAAATGTAAAAAGTCCTGCATAACAAGGTAATGGAACTTTATAAAGATGGTAAAGTATATACACAGATGTCCAAAGCCTTGAATTTGCCAGTCAGTACTGTTCAATCACATATTAAGAAGTGGAAAATTCAGGGGATCTCTTGATATCAAGCCAAGTACCGGTAGACCAAGAAAGATTGCAGCCACAACTGACAGAAGAATTGTTTGGTATACAAAGAAAAACCCACAGGTAACCTCAGGAAATATACAGGCTGCTCTGGAAAAAGACAGTGTGGTTGTTTTGAAGGAGCACAATACAACGATACTTGAACAAAAATTAACTGCATGGTCAAGTTGACAGAAAGAAGCCTTTAGTGTGCCAATGTCACAAAAAAAGCCTGGTTACAATTCAGTATGTCTGACAACACCTTGACATGATTTACGGGGGGTTTTTGTGGCTGTACTTGGCTTGGTATGAAGATATCCCCGAATTGTCCATTTCCTAATTAGTGATTTAACAGTACTGACTGGCATATTCAAGGTGTTGGACATCTTTTTATATCCTTTCCTATCTTTATAAAGTTACATTACCTGGTGATGGAGGCCAATGGAGAGAGGGCTTCCCTTGCGGCCAAGTTTCCGGACTCCCCTGAGAGTGGGACAGTGGGAGTCAGGCCCAAAGTTGCACAGGTTGCCTGTAGGAGTGCTAGTTGGTGGTCCACTCAGAAGCACAGCTGGTGTACGGAGACAGGTCTGCAGACTGGTGGCGCCTGTTTGTGGTATGCAAGCCCTTCCGGGATTTAGATGTTTACTGGGTAGTTGGTTCAAGCCAAGGTCAGGTACCAGGTGGGAATCAGAGCAGACGTAGTCAGATGGGATAGCAGAGGTCATACACAGAGGAGTGAGAGAGTATCCGTAAGCCAAGCTGAGGTCAGATCAGGTGTAAAGCAGAGTAGACAGGTCCAGGAGCAAGCCGAGTCGGTAACAGGAAAACACAGGTCAGAATCACAGGAAACAGGAACCAGGAACAGGGCACGGGGAGCTAGAGATCATCCAGAAACTAGAGAAAGTGATGAGCCTCCTTATAAAGGCCGTCTGGCACCAGACTGAGGCTGATGTGTACTTCTGCGACCATGTAGAGTACTGGCAGAAATACCAGATCTTTCAGAATTTTTGCCGAGGACAGGACCCTGACAATTACCATGTTACTCAGGTCTTTTTACAGTTCTTTTCTGATCCTCATGTCTCTAGCCTGCTCAGTGCATCCATGTAAGAGTTAACAAACTCCTTGACTATTTATACACAGACATTAATTGCAATTTTAAAAGCCACAGATGTGGGAAATTAAACTTTAAAGACCATTTTAACCCGTGTGTGTCACTTTGTGTGTCTGTACCAAGGCCTAAACATTTCAGGGTATGTAAACTTTTGATCAGAGCCGTATTGGTGATTTCTGTTATCATTATATAATAAAAAGGAGTCAAACAACTATATGATGATAAATGGCTTTATATGATCACTATGCTTAAATAAAAGAAATTTTTTGGCATGATCAGTCATATTTTCAATATAAATGCCAAAATTTCACGATTTTTGCCGGGATATGCAAACTGTTGAGCACAGCTGTATATCTCCTTCATCTCAGCAGACTTACAGAGCACCAGGGGATGGAACAGATGCGGAGTATGTACTGCTATGGCAGCAAACATTGAAGCAACCCTGTTGCTTTGCCCTGCACAGACTGAGCACAGGTTCACTTTAAGCACTTACACATTTCTCAGTTTCTTTGCTCAAGGATGTTAATAAAACTGCCATACTTCTCTGCTCACATTGCTTCTGCTATGGTGCTTAACTGTGGAGGACTGGCAGTCACAAGGGCTACCTGGGTTAACAACCATGTTCTTCTGTACACAAAGGGGCTCCGTGGGATTATCACAGACATGCAGGTCATTTAAAAAGCATGGACAGGAAATCACTAACACAAGGAATCATGAAACTAGGAAAAGATATACATTTCAAAATAACTGAGGAAGAATTAAAATTGTATCCAACTTTACAAGACAATACATGGTTACAGCTCTCTTCAAAATAAAATGTGTCTTAATTTATAATTATTTGGTTTCTTTGAATACTGAAAAATCCTTGGCTCAACTATCATTTGTCTCTGGTAAAAGAACACATCTTACCAAGCTGCAAATTACACGGAACTTCTGGAAGTGAAGGACTGGGTTCCGGGGCTCCATCATCTCCACAGCATTGATCAGGTCTTTCACGTAGGTGAGAGCCTAAAGCAACCCATGCCATAAAAAGTATTAGCATACTCATTAACATAAAAACATTAATGTTCACAATGTCCTGGAATGACACATGATCCAGTTATTCTCTACTGCATCTGTACTACAAACCAGAAATTCTAAATAAACCAAAGTGTATATATCAAAGTGATATGTAAAAACTGCTATTTTGGGACAAGGAAGAGTTTTTCTTTTTTAATGATAACCTTAGATTGTACGCCTTGAGGGTTAGGGACTGATGTGAATGCACAATATATATGTGTAAAGCGCTGCATAAACTGACGGCGCTATATAAGTACCTGAAATAAATAAAATAAATAAATTGCCTTGAAATAATTATTTTTACGTCTACAGATTTTACAGGCAAAAACGTGAAAGAAAAAAGAATAATATTTTTTTCCAGTTTTGTCCAGTGACAATCTCAAACCAGCTGTTACTGGAGATACAAACCATGTTTTTGTTATTATTTATCCTTTTTAATATGATACTCTTGATGTCCCTGATACAACAAATACATGTGTCTTCTTAAACCAAAAATAAAAAAAAAATATCAAAATGGATACAAAAATAAAAAAAAAGGAAGGAAGAGAATAAAATTTGCTAAGGAGAAAAGATGAAGTATGTAACTACACCAGTGTTATTCAACCTTTTTTCAGTCAAGGCACCTTTTAAAATTATGGACAATCCTGAGGCACCCTTTAAAATTATGGACAGTCTTGAGGCACCCCATTCTAAAATGTGAAAAACTATTCTAATAGTTTTATATAACTCAGCAACATCCACACATGTAGAACACCCAACATTAGAGGTGTTTACTCTTCCAAAGCAAATACACTTTTGCACACTGGTACTGACTAATATTCCAGTGTTTTTCTTCTTCCTCAGTTTTTATCCATCACTGAGCTAATGTGACCCCAGCACTGATGGAGGGGGGCAGGGGAGGGTCAAACTAGTCATTGGTTGTCAGGGCGCTGGCAGCTAGAAGTTCGTAATGGTGCACAATGAAAACCTGTGGCTTTCTGTAACTAAAAACGAAGGCTTGTTCCACACACTGGCTTGTATACAAGTTTTGAGCAATTTTTAGACATTTGCCAAGGCACCCTTGAAGAAACGTCAAGGCACCCTGGTTGAGAAAGGCTGAACTAGACACTAATCAATATGGAATTAATTAGGAAAGAATTTTAGAAAAATTAGAATTGAATCAAACAGAATAGAAAACAAAGGAATAGAATACAGCAATAGAATAGATTAGAAAATACAGGAAGAGAATAAAATAAAATAGAATAGAATAGAAAGAAATAAAAACAAAAAAGAATAGAATAGAAAAGAAAAGAATAAATATAGCCATCTTTTGAAATTCCAATTTCCAATTGATTAAAAATGAACAAATATATGAAACAAATCCGATTATACAAAATGAATTCCAAAAATGAATCATTCTAACATAACGAATATGACAAAATTAAATTATTAATCTAATGAACGAATACGAAACAAAACAAATGTTTCCGCCATGCACATCACTATTTTACAATATACAGGTTTGCTTTCAAAGCTCCTGGGATCAGGTCATAAAAGAATGCAATGTGATTCTGTAACAACTGAATGATCATTGCATCTGACTATATTGCAGATCTTTTAGTGGGAGCCACTGTGATTGGCACAGACCAGGACATATGTTGTCAAGTTTCTTAAATGAAAAATAAACTCTTAGCTTTTTGAATTTGAGGAAAAAAAAGATTATGTGAATACATTCTGTTTCAAAGAAAAAGTATAATTAAAAGTAAAACTGCAGCCCTGCAACAGTTATATAAGATGTGCAGCTATACATTGGTGTACAGGTGTACCTTGGTTTACGAACGCCTCGGTTAACATAATTTTTGGTTTACGAATGAAAATCCATTGAAAATAATGCCTCGGTTTACAAATTTTTTCCCAACATGAAGCAACTTTCCCCAGGATGCATTGCACCTGGGAGGTTTATAGCGCAGGCGCTGTGCCTTTAAAGTGCACTTTATAAAGAGTTTTGAACAGATAAGACTTTTTTTTACTTTTTTCTGACCTCCGAAACGGATGAATTGGTTTTCCATGCATTTACAAATTTTTTTCGCAATAAGAAGCAAGTTTCCCCAGGATGAACTGTGCCTGGGAGGTTTATAGCGTCGGCACTGTGCATGCTGGAGTCTGTGGATAGCACGTGGCGTCGAGTGTGGAGGTGTTGGAGCGGTTTTTGCATCGAGTTTTGGAGCCATTCTGGAAAGTTTTTAACATGTCCCTGTACAGTATTTATGCCTTTAAAGTGCACTTTATAAAGCGTTTTGAACAGATAAAAGGCTTTTTTTTACTTTTTTCTGACCTCCAAAACCGATTAATTGGTTTTCAATGCATTCCTATGGGAAACCGTGTTTCGGTTTACAAAGTTTTTGCAATGCGAAATTCCTGGAGAACGCATTAAATTCATAAACTGAGGTACGCCTGTATTTGTTTTTCCAAAAGATCATCCTGTACAGGAAAGACAGAGTTTACAGAGAAGATGGGGCAGAGTTTTCACCAGGCCAGCTAACAGTGTATAATGGCCAGTCTACAGAAGAAACAGACTTCTTCTTTTCTGTTCCAAACCCCTACTAATCCTAGTTGCCAGCAATGACATAGATGAGTTGGAATTTGCTCTATCTATTCAGCAATTGATGGTGTAAACTGGGCAGTGCCAACCAAGTGCAATGGTACAATAAAAATTCCATGTCATAGCTGCATCTACATAAGAGAACCTAGGAACAGATATTGGGATGTATATGAGTATACCATATACAGATTAACCCATCCACAGGTTTCCAACCCCATCACACCATAAACTAACCTTTGGTATATTTCCTTCCCTTGTTAGTGAGTATATGGCTAACATCTGAAAGGCATCAATGTTTTTTCCATCTATTGATAAGATGCTAAAAATAAATAAATAAATAAATAAATAAAAGCAATTAAACCAGACAAAGTATACATATATACAAATATATGCTCTGCGTATGTGTGTGGAGTGTCTAAGGACCAGGCTGGAAGTGGTGCAGGGTCATTTGTATGTTTAGTGCTACATAAATAGTGGTAGTTCATTAAGAAGTTATAGAAGATGTCTGTATGGAGGGGTTGGGGTGCTATTTGCAGATGAAGCTGGTCATCTGTTTTCATGCAGTCATGAGCTCCATCAGTTTACCACTGGGTATGAAGTGGTGAAAACCAAATATACAACATAAATATGAGCCATGTACACCTCAAAAAGATTGTCTTTTTTCCTTTGGTAAATCAACCCCAGTCACTTTCTAGGTAGGGCCTGTGTTGATGGGCTTTTGTTTACTACTGACTAACTAACCGCTTTTCTCTCCAACACATACAGGGGTTGATTTACTAATACCGGGGAGTGAACAATCTGGAGCAGTTCTGCACAGAAATCAGCTTCCAGGTTTTATTGGCAAAGCTTAATTGAACAAGATGGAACTGATGGGCTACCATGCACAGCTGCACCAGATTCTGCGTGCACCAGTTTTAGTAAATGGCCCCCACAGTATATCAATAGGAATTCAAAACCAACGTGAAGAAGGTCAACAGCAGGAAAAATGCACCTATTGTGAATGGTCTCAGAAGTGTCTCAAACTGATGTCAAAACTCATTGCATTTGCCCATGAACACATGTCCATATTGTACTTTGAGATCCTGCTCAGTATGGACAGAAAAACAAATGCAAAAATGATAAATGAGTTAGATCATAAGTTGATTTTCAGGGGACAATATACTGGCCTAAGGAAGAGTAAAATCAGTCATGCATAGCTCGGCTATGGTGACTGTAATAGGTACATTTACCTGTAATCACTGTGACGGTTGAAGACCAAAAGAGTAGAGATGACAGTAAAAGTAGAGGGAAGGGGGAAGGACTATGGTGATCCATGTTAGAATACAGGCTCCAGCTGATCTAATAGACATCTTCTATAAATGCCCCTGGAGGTATCCCCCTCAAAGCTATAAAATAAAATGTTGAACCTGAAAGAGGTTCCAGGGCAGACCCCAAATTGGCTGGTGAAATAATATCTACCAGATGGCTTGAGAATGACATGAAATCTCCTGGGAAGAACTTATGGCAGTAGTCAGCAAAGGAGAGTCTGTACTGAGCTGCTGTGCCTAGCTCCCATGTAACAGGACTAAACTGTCTGAAAATGGCTGGACTGACAGGTGGAATGTTTTACTGATAGGAAATAGATGTGAATGAGATACTCTCATTGCTGTACCTTTAGGGACCATGCACACTGGCTTAAAAAATGGCAGTGCTCTTGGTGAAAAAAATGCTAATTTTTGTACTAGCGTTTAATGTTTTGGGGGTTCTTTTGCCAGAAAGTCTATTTTCTATTTGTGCGTTGCTATACATATCCAATAGTTGGGGACCACACTTTTCAGAGGTGCCTTGAAGCAGCAGTGTGGCTTCACAAGTATTTGTAAATGTTTGTTGGCGTACGTTTGTATTCTTTTATATATTGCCCTGCCTATGTTCTCCTTTCCCCTCTTTTGCTAGTTTCAAAGCAATCAAATCAACTTCAGATTAGATTTCAGGTAAGTATACTAGTAGTAATCCAAAACAAATTTGGATTACATTTCATATCTGCTTATAATTAAATTTGAATGAATTTGAATTAGTATGCGAGTGGCGTAAAAGGTAGCTTTAATATTTGCTTAGAATATTGCTTTATACACACCATTGTGTTCTTTACCGTTGTGCTGTTTCAAGGCTTTGGTCCCAGTCTTGCTGTGCTAGAACATATCTCATCTTTAAAGTCAGTGCTATTAGAAATTTAGGAAAATTAACAATGATCTGGTTAATTATATCCAGGGCTCCAGAGTAATTCTTCTGCATTATGAAACATTCAGCCTGCAAAGTAAACCAGCATAATATTAATTATGAAAAGGACAAAGTACAAAACAAACCTGTGACATACTGTATTTTAGGAAACTTTCATTGTTGCAATCATTACAACAGACCCAAGAACTGCTGTAACATTTGGGCTGTGAAGGGGTTAATAAGTGCCTAATTAACAAGTAAACAACAAAAGAACATGTTATTGCTAGTATATATTTTCAATAAATTGGGAAATTTCTGTTATCAATTACTAAACATTTCATGATATACATAGAAAAAAAAATACCTATTCACTGTGCATATGCCACTGTGAAAGGGTATGTAAATCCTAACAATGAGCTTCTCTTATTTGCTCCCTTTTGATTTGTTAAATAAACCACTGAAAGTGTGTCACTTTAGTTTCATAGGTTTTGTTTGAAAAGTAAAAATGCTTGTTCATCCCGATAGAACTTCAATACCATCCTGTGTCCTCTGTAGTAACGTACGATATTATTAGCCCTGCCTAGCTCACATTCGTGAACTACTGAATACCCCTTATAGTTTGTAGATGTCCCCATCTATTTTTATACCCTCTATGTTATGGTGAAGAGGAAAAAGGAGGTGTCTTGTAGTCCTGTCCTAGGGTGCCAATACTGCTGTGTTATTAGTAAAGCCTGAAAAAAACACTGATGCAGCCACCACATCTGAGGACTAGTAAACTGCTACATATTACATTTTTTGCTTTTGGATTTGGATACATGTTAAATTCAAGCTGAAGGCTGTAACATTTGGTAAGTCCATTGATAAGGCATCTGCAATGGGGATGTTCAGACCTCCTATTTAATATAGTAATTATTTTTTAATATGTCCATATAGTCCAGTCCTCCAAATAATAAAAAAAAAAAAAATCCCTGAGAGCATATCATTGTAAAAAATACTCAGCTATCCTCATGTCTGCAACAAAAGCAACTTGCATTTGTAAGACATGATGTTTTTTTAAACCTCTGCTGCTATATACAGTGCCTTGAAAATGTATTCATACCCCTTGAGATTTTCCACATTTTGTCATGTTACAACCAAAAATGGAAATGTATTTTATTTGGATTTTATGTGATACACCAACACAAAGTTGTACATAATTGTAAAGTGGAAGGAAAATGATAAATGGCTTCAAAATTTTTTACAAATAAATATCTGAAAAGTGTGGGGTGCATTTGTATTTAGCCCCCTTTACCCTAAAAATGGGTTGAACATGTAACAGGTTCCAAAGGTGAACTTATCCTTTAAAACAGAAAATATCATATTTGACCACTACAGTGCGCTAAGTATCACAGTGGTATTTTCCATTTCAGATTAAAGAAAAACATTCAACCAGCACAGGCAATAGCGCCATTTGCACAGAACAAATATACTTTCCCTGGGTGAATTGTTCTGTAAATTTTAATAATACACCCCTTTAAGTTGTGATCAGGGGCGGACTGACAACTCATGGGGCCCCCGGGCAATAGGGGATCATGGGGCCCCTGTGTCCTTGCCCAAACTCAAAAAAGCCTATGAAAAAGGTACCAGGGGCATCTCATGGGGCCCCCTACTGACCCCGGGCCCTCGGGCAGTGCCGAAATTTCCAAATGGTCAGTCCGCCCCTGGTTGTGATAGATCAGCACAAAATAATGCATTACCTTTCCAATCATTCCTAACAAGTCTTTGTTGCTCTGCGTTCCCTCTTCAAAATACTTAACACACTTTGCCAAAGAGGGTTCTAGGGTTAAGAGAAGCCATCCTTTCAGCACCAACCCCTAAAAGAAAACAAATTCAGATCAGGAAGCAGATCATGTAAGGCAAGAATACATCACAATAAATTTGAAAACTCGTATTTATCTCCCACAATGGAAAATAACGTCACATTTTTAGAAAGTTTTTTTCCTCCAAATTAAACTAAGCCCATGCTTTAAAGGACATATGGTATACCTACCTTTCCAGGGGCCCAAGTCTTCACTGCTTTAGTGATCACCAGCTGCCGCAGGTGCCAACACAGGCTGTAGTGGTGTATGAGCCAGTAAAAGGAAACACAGTGTGAGGCGGGAGGCACAGGTATTCCCACACACAGAAGTGTTGGATACCCAAAGTGGCCAGGGAACAGTAAAGTGTTGGTGGCTAAAGAAATGGACCATCAGAAAAGTATGTATATACAGCATCTTATTTTTCCAGCGTGGGCTTGGCTAAGTTTGAACTTTGTAGTGACAGGGTCACTTTACAATGCTCTAGTCACGACAGAAATAGATGGGCTGCTACTGATGACTTTTCTGAACATGCTAGTTCCCTGGCTGTGCTACTGAAGATTTGTCTTAAATGCTTTCAGAGTCACTGCCCTGCAACAAGAACAGAGACAAGGCGGGTGATTTACTAAAGGCAAATAGACAGTTCACTTTACAACACACTCTGTAAGAGAATTTGCACCAGAGCTTGGTAAATGAGGAAAAGCTCTGCTGACTTCCATTGTCTAATCATGTGCAAGCAAAAATGCTGTTTTTTTTTTTCATTTTCCTTGCATGTGATTAGATACTTCTTGCACAATCTTGACCTCATTCACGAAGCTCTGGCGCTAATTCCCTTGCAGCGAGCAATTGCACTTTCAAAGTGAACAGTCTATTTCCCCTTAGTAAATCAACACCAAGGAATACCAGTTTGTGACTCAGGAGTACTAGAGCTAGACAGAGCCACAAAACTGGTCTTTTCAGAAAAAGTCATGATAAAATGCTCTGGCCTTTTCAAGTATTACTCTTGAAAACTGAACTCCAGCCTTACCTTCAGTCTTCCACATTTGTAAAGGCTCCTTTTCTGTATTTAAATTGCTTACTCTGATTTCCTGCACACTGTGAGCTTCTCACAGCGTGCAGCCTCATTTCTTGGCTGGAGAAAGACCAGAAACATCTATCACCCAGCCCACCTGTCCCACCTCTTTTATCACCCTAGGTTCACACCTAAGCATTTTCTGCAGCGTTTTGCAGAAATGCAGTACAGTCCATTTAACATGATTTCCTATAGGACATGTTCACACCTGTAAGTTTCCACCTGGTGTGTTTTTTGGAAAGGGTCAGGGGATTATTTGAATGCAAAATGTTGCATTTTTGGTTCTATAGACTTTAATGGAAACGCTGCAGAAAAGAATGTAAATTTGCGTTTTTGCTGCGTTATTGCCACGTTTTTCAAGTGTTTTGCAGTTTGCTTTTCAAATCTGCCTAGCAACAAAAAAAAATAAAAAAAACTGAAAACCCCCCCCCCCCAAAAACGCAATTCAAAACACAATGCAGAAATGGCTCAAACCCAACCTGCATAAGTGTGAACCTAGCCTGCATTGAATTTTAGTGTTTTCAGTTATGTCAGCAAAAAATCACATGTGGGCATTATTTAGGGCAGTCTACATGCATATACAGCCTGCCTAAGAATGCCCACTTCTCCAGATTAAAATCCATGCATCAAGGCATTTGCATAACTCCTCCAAAAGCCATCCCACTTTTTGCATCAAGGCTAAGGACTCTTGAGAGGAGAACTGGGTCTAAAATATAATACATAATAAAAACAGAAAACATTTGTTGATTGGGGGGGGGAGACAAGGGAGGGCAGAATATAAGCAGATACATTTCTAGCTTTAAGGAAACAAGAATATTTCAAAGTTGAAGCTAAACTCCAGGCTGATATAAAAACATCACTTATTTAGTGGTTTATTCCTTTAGGTCGCTTTCACACAGGGAGACTCCGTTTCAATCAGCAGAGGATCTGTGTAATGATCCCCTGCTAATCACAGCAGAGTTGTGGATGACAGTTCTGTGTCCTCTCATTTTCTGCAGAGTAGACATAGACAGAGCCTGTTCTGCTCTATGGATGGGCAGGGGGAAACGGACTGTAAACTATCCATTTTCACCCAACTGTCCTCCAAAACTGATCCCATTTGATGGAGGGGGATGGATCCCCTTTGGGTTTTTTTTTAGTGGACTGTATCAGATTAGAGGTATGCGGATGTAAATGGACACAAGTCCATTTACATCTGCTGGTCCACAGGGGTGCACCAACCTGAAAAACTGAAAGGCAGACCTGATCAGACCCGTGAAAGGGGCCTTAAAGATATTTAAGTCTATTTCTGATACAAGTAGCATAAATACCCAATCTACCTTGATAACAACCTCTGTCATCTATTGCAAACAGTACTGATAGTGAAAGAGGATGGGTAACGCTGGCAGTGAATCAGGCTCTGTTGAATGCACATGTGCTGAAAGATTCAGACAGCAAGGCTAGTGATTTACCAGTATCTCGCTTCTCCTTCATTGCACAATCAGCTGGTTGTAGGTGGGGAGGTCACAACATTGTATTCATTAAGGCTAGGTTCACATTTGTGCGGGTGGTGCCGCTGCGGATCCACACAAAAATACGTGCAGCTGCACCACCCGCACAGAGAAATGCGGACTCGCGGGTGGGTGTCATTAATTCTAATGGCATGCCGCCCGCACTGGAAATCGCAATTGTACTGGGAACCTCGGTTCCCGTGCTGGCTGCATTTTCTGAAGAAGTGCAGGGACTTCTTCCCTGAGTGTCCCGGGGCACGGGACTCCATTCAAATGAATGGGCTCTCGTGTCTGTGCAAAACGCGGCCCGCACAGACGCAGATATGTGAACCAGGGGTAAGGGTGCACTTACACCTGTGAATGCACCTGATGTCGATTACATGCAAAAATCCCAGCAGGGTTTCCTGGTGATTAGCTGCCAGAGGCAGCCCCATTTAAAGCAATGGGAGGCTTCCAGCTCATTGCCGGGAATTCCCAATGGGGTTCTTAAATGTAATAAACATCAGGTGCATTCGCAGGTGTGAATGCACCCTAATTCCAACAGGGAAAAAGGTGTTACCCTCTTGGCTGGTTGTAGGTGGGGAGGTCACAACATTGTATTCATTAAGGCTAGGTTCACATCTGTGCGGGTGGTGCCGCTGCGGATCCGCACAAAAATATATGCAGCCACACCACCCTCACAGAGAAATGAGGACCCGTGGGTGGGTGCCATTAATTCTAATGGCACACGGCCCACACTGGAAATCGCAACTGTACTGAGAACCTCGGTTCCCGTGCGGGCTGCGTTTTCCGAAGAAGTGCAGGGACTTCTTCCCTGCATGTCCCGGGGAAGGGGAATCCATTCAAATGAATGGGCTCTTGTGTCCGTGCAAAACGTGGCCCACATGGCCGCAGAAATGTGAACCAGGGGTAAGGGTGCACTCACACCTGTGAATGCACCCGATGCATATTGTATGCGGGGTTTCCCGGTGATTAGCTGCCAGAGGCATTTAAAGCAATGGGAGGCTGCCAGCTCATTAACGGGAACTCCCACTGGGGTTCTTAAATGTAATCAACATCAGGTGCATTTGCAGGTGTGAATGCACCCCAATTCCAACAGGGAAAAAGGTGATACCCTCTTGGTTGTGCAACAGTGTGTACATAGAGTTGCCCCACAGAATTACAAATCCTTTCCCAGTTTAAACAGTTTTGTGTATTTAGATATTTAACTGGAGTTTAGCTTTAAAAGGATTCTGTCATTGTTCCAACTTGCGTTGCTGGATCAAGTCTGGACAGATCACTTAGGAGCACTGCATACCTCATTTGACCTGTTGGACATTTTCAGCATCCTGTCAACATACTCCTGTGCCTTGTCACTTCTTCCAAGCAGCCACAGAAGTAGTCCTGCATAATAGAGAGCTTTAGGTCCTGCTGACCTTCGGTTTTCTTTTAACTTACTTTCCAGTTCAGAAACCTCCTCACGATCTGTGAGAAATATGCAATGAAAATTACATAAATTAAATATATACATTTTACACAATAAAAGTCATTGGGAACAACAAGGTGAATTTTTTTTTTTACTACACCAATCCATAAAAAATATTTATTGAATTTCCAGCATATACTGTATATCTTCCCTCAGATGGAGGACCAGTGTTAGAGAAGAGGGCTCAGACAACTAGCTATACTTACTGGGACTAATGATCCTGAAAAAATGTGAACAATAAACAGGTAAATATCCACAACTAATACTTTACTTTAGGCAGAGTCCAAGAGGTTAGATCAACTTTTATCTTTTGAGGACATCAATGGCAAAGTTTTTAAACCTGAGCTGAAGGCTCTCCTATTAGTTTTCATTATAGTGTAACTAACGGCAAAACAATTTTTTTTTTTGTTTTGGATAAAGTGGAGATGAATTAGAACCCCCATCAGGTTTTTATTGCTGTCTGTGTTTCTGTTAGGGACATTCACCCTCTCTGTTTGGCCTGTTTACTATTATCAATGAACATAAAAGTAAAAGAAAATCTAAAATTTTGGGTTATCACCAGGCATCCCCTCCTGTGACCAGGATCATAGGGATAGAGCAAGCAGTCACCCGATATAAATCTGCTTTCTTAACATACAATTCATCCCTTCATGCTGCCAAACAAGCCTACTTTGTCATTCTTATTAATACCCTGTCATCCAGTCCTCATCGTCTCTTCTCTACTTTTAACTCTCTACTTTCTCCACCTCCACCACCACCCAGTACCTCACTCACTGCTCACAAGATTTCAAATCATTTCAAAAACAAGATTGACGCAATTCGTAGGGGCATCGCCACTGCACAGACACCCATCCCACTTAGCATACCTTATACTAAACCTCCCTCAACACTTTCCTCTTTTGACCTCGCTACTACCGAACTGGTCATTAAGGTTTTCTCGGAAGCCTGTCTCACTACCTGCCCCCTGGATCCTGTCCCCTCACAATTACTACGGTCACCCTCTCCTTCCATCCTATGCTCCCACACTCACATCTTCAATCTTTCCCTCTCTAATGGTGCCTTCCCCTCCCCTCTAAAGCATGCGCACATCACTCCCATACTTAAAAAGCCCTCCCTGGACCCCACCAACCTGAACAACTTAAGACCCATCATCCTGCTGCCAATTACCTTTAAACTCCTAGAACGCTTAGTCTACAATGGCCTGAGCTCCCACCTCACACGACAACAACCTTCTTGACCCTTTACAGTCTGGCTTTCGCTCACTGCACTTCACTGAAACTGCCCTACTAAAACTCACTAATGATCTACTAACAGCTAAAACCAATGGCCACTACTCCATACTCTTACTACTTGACTTCTCTGCGGCTTTTGATACGGTTGATCATCCCCTCCTCCTCAAAAAACTACTCTCTTGGTCTCAGAGACTCTGCTCTCTCCTGGTTCTCCTCCTACCTATCGCAGCGCTCTTTCAGTGTTACCTATAATGCTGCCTCCTCCTCTTCACTCCCTCTTTCTGTAGGGGTGCCTCAAGGATCTGTCCTTGGACCCCTTCTCTTCTCCATCTACACCTCCTCCCTTGGTCACTTGATAAACTCCCACGTCTTTAAGCACCATCTCTATGCTGATGACACACAAATCTATCTTTCTACCCCTCACCTCACCCCTTCAGTCTCCTCTCGCATTACTAACCTACTAAGTGACATATCGGCATGGATGTCACTCCACTTCCTCAAACTCAATCTTTCCAAAACTGAACTCTTAGTATTCCCCCCAGCCTGTGCCCCCCCCCCCCCCGACTTCTCCATCAAGATCAATAACACAATCATCATTCCTCCCCTCATGCCAGGGTACTAGGTGTAACTCCCATCTGTCCTTTCACCCCCAAATACAATCACTGTCCAAATCTTGTAGACTTCACCTCCGCAACATCTCCAAGATACGCCCGTTCCTAACCTTGGAAACCACTAAGCAACTTATTCACTCCCTTGTTATCTCTTGCCTTGACTATTGTAACTCCCTCCTCATTGGCCTACCTAATCGCAGGCTATCCCCTCTTCAGTCTATCATGAATGCTGCTGCCAGACTCATCCACCTTACTAACCGTTTTGTGTCTGCCACCGCTCTCTGCAAAACCCTCCACTGGCTTCCCATTGCCCAACGGATCAAATTCAAAACATTACCAATAACGTATAAAGCCATTTATAACTCTGCCCCAAATTACATCACCGATCTTGTCTCTAAATATCAACCAAACCGTCATCTCGACTCCTCGCAAGACCTCTCTAGCTCCCTTGTCTCCTCCTCCCATGCTCATCTCCAGAGCTTCCCCCATCCTCTGGAACTCTCTAACCAAATGTATCAGACTATTGCCTACTCTGCTCACTTTTAGGCGATCTCTGGAAACCTATTTCTTCAGGGAAGCCTATCCTTCCCTCAGCTAATAATGGAATCTTCTACTCCTCCTACCAGTCCATCCCCTACAGTTACTACCTTTTGTACCACTAGCCCCTCTCTCCTAGTTTGTAAGCTCCAAGGAGCAGGGCCCTCCTTTCCCTCTTGTATTGTACTGTATTGTTGCTGTATTGTCTCCCATTATATTGTAAAGCGCTGAGCAAACTGTTGGCACTATTTAAATCCTGTATAATAATAATATTAGAGGGGAAGTCTTCCAATGGAGACACTAGTTCTGCTAAGCCCGCTGACAGTCAGGGATTCCTTCACTTTGGAGGAATTTCCTCTCACTTCATGCTTTGGTTATAAAACAGGAAGTGAAGGAAAAATTCCCTAATGGGACACAGATGGCAAAAATAAAGAAAATGTAGTTGTTATAACCCTCCCTAATGCAGGCCATACATGGGTAGAATTCTGAACTAATTTTCTTTAGATAGTGCCACCATTGAAATTTGAAATTCGACCAACCAAGCCTTCAATTTCATCCCATATTGCTACAGAAAATAATTTTCGTGGCCAAGAATTTTCTTTTCTTTCCAGGTCACAGCTCAAGCTCATTTCTTTTTCAATTATATTTCTCATACAATTCTCCCTTCACTGATTAGAAATTTGTTCATTTTTCAAAAAATTTCCAACATGCCCAAAAACTCAAATTCGATGATCGCTCGAAAATCGTCTGTTGCTGTGGCCCACTAATAGTGCCAAATTCACATTAAAATTCTTAGGAAACATTTTCAAAAGAAAATTCTTTTGGAATTCAACGCATGTATGGCCGGTTTTAACTCTATCTGAATTTAAATAAAAAAAATGTTCAGCCCCAAGCCATTTCTGGCACTTTTTGTTTACATTTTAAAATCAGTATTTTTTGCTAGAAAATGTCTTAGAACCCCCAAACATTATAGATTTTTTAAAGCAGAGGCCCTAGAGAATAAATTCATGCTTTTTGCATTTTTTTATGTCACACAGTATGTTCGCTACGGTTTTTCAAATGCAATATTTGGAAAAAAATTTAATTTTATTGCAAAAAAAACACAATACATTACCCAATTAGTAATAGAGTAGGGATATATGTTCAAGAGGAAGAGGAGGTGTATTGTAGCATGTTCACTAATTCACATGTATATAAAGAAAAGGTGGTCTATGTATGGAACATTGGGGTAACAGGCGGATCTATTGATGAGGGGGAGGTGTTTTTATAGCACATATGAAGGTTTTTTTGCACAGTTAGTTTTCTCATTGTGAGATTTATACATGAGTCATTTATAGCACTCAAATCTAAAGAAGAAAGGGGGAGGTGTTTTGTAGCACCATACCAATATTTTATAGCATAAAACAAGGCATGTTGAGACATGATGAAACCACAGGCAATAATGTTGAATGGTACTTCTCTGTCTGCCTTTTTTTTTGTGGGGGGCACAGCTTCCAGAGTTCAGCTGCAAATTTGAGTGTAGAATGTATGCAATAAGAATTAAACCTTACCAAAGGTACCACTTTTCTTATGAGTATAAATTAGAAGCATAAGGGTGCATAAAGAGACATCTGGAACTTCTCTGATGGACTCTAGCTCTCGAATGGCCTCCTGCACTCGGTCTGGTGAGAGAAGAAAAAACATTATGATAACAGTACACACTATTATGTTCACTAATTGTAAGCCAAACTACAAAGTACTAAACAAACCATGAACTGAGATCGGAGAATGAATGAGACTGAGTCCAGTTTCACGCATGTGCGGCCGTGCAGGCGGCGGTTTGCATGGGCACGAGAGCCCATTCATTTGAATGGACTCCCGTGCCTCAGGATATGCAGGAAAGAAGTCCCTGCGCTACTTGGGAAATCACAATCCACATGGGAACCGAGGTTCCCAGTAGGTTAGCAGATGTGAACCAAGTTGAGCTTGAGCTCTGCAGTCACTTTTGCAGCAGTTGTTTTCTTATTCCGGGTCACAATCCTGTGCAATGTACTTTTGTCTTTTTCGGTCAGTTGACCATATCGACCGCGCTTATGCTTGCCAGATGACGTTTTCCTGGAAACTGTATATGCCGTCATAACCTTTGATACTGTATCTCGCAAAACAGCAAATAAATTGGCAACTCCAGTCACAGAGACACCAGCTAACCGAACACCAACAATATGCCCTCTTTGAAGTTCCCTAAGCTCTGACATCAAGAAATAGAAATATCGCCAGCACATCAGGTTTCTCCAATATGGGTCCGAAGTTTTAATGTGTAATCACATAGTTACAAAGAAAGCAACGTTTCGGAGTCTCGCAGAACCCCTTTATGCATCACATGCCTGATGAAGGGGTCCTGCGTGACTCCGAAAAGTTGCTTTCTTTGTAACGGTGTGGTTACACATTAGGTCCCCGGTCACATCAAAGCTGATTTTGAAATCGTACGACTTACAGTCAGGTTGTACAATTTCAATATCACGTGACCTGCCGATTTCAGTTGCGATTTGCCAGACATCTGACACAGATGTCTATGAAAATCGCAACAAAAGTAGTGCATGCACTACTTTAGAAATCGGTGCGGCTCTGATCAAGTTGGAACCGAACCGATCTGATATGACCGCTCTAATAGCGGACAATAGGGCGCAACTTGGCATACGATTGCAAGTCGCATGGCATGCAAATCGCATGCCAAAGCACACCCGATGTGACCGGGGGCTAAAAGCTTTGGACCCATATTGGAGAAACCCAGTGTGCTGGCGATATTTCAGTTTCTTGATGCATCGCGGTTCCAGCCGTTGGTCGCAACATCACCCACTTACAGCACTTACATTACCCACTTACCACCCACATACAGCCATTGTTCAATGCAGGAATGTGTGCACTGGGATTTTGAAACTACATGAAACTCTGAAATGACTCCGTATTAAAAGCAGCGCACGCAGTGAATGACTATAGTGAGGCTTCCCACCTGTTAGCTAGGTGTCTCATCACACAGCGGAAGCAAAAGAATATTACATAACTTCCGCTTTCAATGCGAAACATGCGGTCACTTTCACACCTGCAAATCATGTAGTGTTTCCATATTTATATCTAACTCCTGTATTTCAGTTTGAAATCTGCATTTGATCTCTTTTTCAATCAAAGGGATTACCCCTCCCACAGATCAGATCCCTAGTGTAACCAAGATATGGCTCTTCAGGCACACAGTAACACTCTGTGGAAGGGAATTCATTAAAACTGGAGCAGCTGTGCATGACAACCAATTAGTTTCTATCTTTTATTTTCAGAGCTTAACTTGAACAAGCTAAAGAGAGAAGCAGATTAATCGCCATGCACAGCTGCTCCAGATTCTGCGTGGTTCAGGTTTGATAAATTCCCCTCTATAAGTGTATTAAACAGGAATTGCCTTTAGCTGCACTATGAGAAGGAGCGATGTCATAGACAGAGGCAAGAGATGGGGAGTACTGACCTTACGGATATTATATGATGACTTACCTTCCATCAGGATGCCAAAAGCTTTAAAAAAATAGAAGCACGGGATCATTGTAGTATTTCTGCAGACCTTCCCTTGCTATATTTTGCATATGCCGATAATATTTCTCATTACAGTGGAAAATAATAGCGGTCTAGAAAACAAAAGTCATATATTTTGCATCTTTGGCCACCAAGCAACTAATAAAAATAATGATAAGAAAAAGAAAAACCCGAGGAGGAAGAATAATACCCACACAAACAGCCCTATCCATCTATTTCAGTAGCTGGCTGACACCATCCTACACTATGCTTCCCACATTCATCAAAGTACACTATAGATACTTGAAATGATTTAGAGCAGGGGCCTCCAAACTTTCTAAAGAAAGGCCCAGTTCACTGTCCTTCAGACTTTAGGGGGGGCCGGACTTTGGCTATTGGGAGTAGAAGAGGTCCTGATGTCAGTTGGAATAGGCAATGCCCCATCTTTGGTGTCAGAGGAAGGAAGAGCACCCCATTGTTGGTGTCAGTGGGAGGAATTGTGACCTATCATTAGTGTCATTGGCCCCATTATTGGTGTCACTGGGAGGAATTGTGCCCCATTATTGGTGTCAGTGGGGAGAGTTTTGTTCCATTGTTGGTATCAGTGGATGAAATAGTGCCCCAAGGGCCGGATAAAAGCAGGCAAAGGGCTGCATCTGGCCCCCGGGCCGCAGTTTGGAGACGACTGGCTTAGAGTATACCCATAACATGAGAAGACTCTTTTATCATATGTAAAGTTTCCCATATGAAGAAACAAAACAAAGTCTATAGGAAGCTGATCCTGGAGTATAATTTCTACACGGTAGGCCTAATGCGCCCAATAAGTATCATAGATCTCAGTCTTATTATTAGTCATGCACTCATCTGGAAAAGAAAGGAGGAACACAAATAAATTCACATCCCTCACCATAAGCTGTGGATCCGTATCCGCCATCGTAATGTGGAGTATTAGTCAGTGTTCTTGTCTGCAGAGAAGGTGGATGTCTGTAGAGGAGACACAAGAGGAAATCTCACATCAGTTCTTGGCTTCTCTCCAGCACAATGTATTCCCTCACTGACAGCTTCATATCAACCTAACCTCCCAATGCTTCAGATTTCCTAACATGTTACTTTTACTGATCTGCATTTCTGATTCATCATTTGCTATTACCCAGATATCAGTGCTGCCAGCCTGTCCTTTCCTCTCAGATATCAGTGCTCTCAGCCTGTCCTTTCCTCTCAGATATCAGTGTTCCCAGCCTGTCCTTTCCTCTCAGATATCAGTGTTCCCAGCCTGTCCTTTCCTGTCAGATATCAGTGTTCCCAGCCTGTCCTATCCTCTCAGATATCAGTGTTCACAGCCTGTCCTTTCCTATCAGATATCAATGTTCTCAGCCTGTCCTTTCCTCTCAGATATCAGTGTTCCCAGCCTGTCCTATCCTCTCAGATATCAGTGTTCCCAGCCTGTCCTTTCCTCTCAGATATCAGTGTTCCCAGCCTGTCCTATCCTCTCAGATATCAGTGTTCCCAGCCTGTCCTTTCCTCTCAGATATCAGTGTTCCCAGCCTGTCCTTTCTTGTCAGATATCAGTGTTCCCAGCCTGTCCTTTCTTGTCAGATATCAGTGTTCCCAGCCTGTCCTTTCCTATCAGATATCAGTGTTCCCAGCCTATCCTTTCTTGTCAGATATCAGTGTTCCCAGCCTGTCCTTTCCTCTCAGATATCAGTGTTCCCAGCCTGTCCTATCCTCTCAGATATCAGTGTTCCCAGCCTGTCCTTTCCTCTCAGATATCAGTGTTCCCAGCCTGTCCTTTCCTCTCATATATCAGTGTTCCCAGCCTGTCCTTTCCTCTCAGATATCAGTGTTTACAGCCTGTCCTTTCCTATCAGATATCAGTGTTCCCAGCCTATCCTTTCTTGTCAGATATCAGTGTTCCCAGCCTGTCCTTTCCTCTCAGATAACAGTGTTACCAGCCTGTCCTTTCCTCTCAGATATCAGTGTTCCCAGCCTGTCCTTTCCTCTCAGATATCAGTGTTCCCAGCCTGTCCTTTCCTCTCATATATCAGTGTTCCCAGCCTGTCCTTTCCTCTCAGATATCAGTGTTCCCAGCCTGTCCTTTCCTCTCAGATATCAGTGTTCCCAGCCTGTCCTTTCCTGTCAGATATCAGTGTTCCCAGCCTGTCCTTTCCTCTCATATATCAGTGTTCCCAGCCTGTCCTTTCCTCTCAGATATCAGTGTTCTCAGCCTTTCCTTTCCTCTCAGATATCAGTGTTCCCTGCCTGTGTCTTCCTCTCAGATATCAGTGCTCCCAGTCTGTCTCCTACTTTCAGAAAATCAGTGCTCCCAGTCTGTCTCTTCCTGTCAGATATCAGTGCTCCCAGTCTGTCTCCTCCTGTCAGATATCAGTGCTCCCAGTCTGTCTCCTCCTGTCAGATATCAGTGCTCCCAATCTGTTTCCTCCTGTCAGATATCAGTGCTCCCAATCTGTCCCCTTCTCTCAGACATCAGTGCTCCCAGTCTGTCTCTTCCTGTCAGATATCAGTGCTCCCAATCTGTCTCCTCCTGTCAGATATTAGTGCTCCCAGTCTGTCTCCTCCTGTCAGATATCTGTGATCCCAGCCTGTCTCCTCCTGTCAGATATCAGTGTTCCCAGCCTGTCTCCTCCTGTCAGATATCTGTGCTCCCAGTCTGTCTCCTCCTGTCAGATATCAGTGTTCCCAGCCTGTCTCCTCCTGTCAGATATCTGTGATCCCAGCCTGTCTCCTCCTGTCAGATATCAGTGTTCCCAGCCTGTCTCCTCCTGTCAGATATCTGTGCTCCCAGTCTGTCTCCTCCTGTCAGATATCAGTGCTCCCAGTCTGTCTCCTCCTGTCAGATATATGTGCTCCCAGTCTGTCTGCTCCTGTCAGATATCAGTGTTTCCAGCTTGTCTCCTCCTGTCATATACCTATGCTCCCAGCCTGTGTCTTCCTGTCAGATATCAGTGCTCCCAGTCTGTCTCCTCCTGTCAGATATCCGTGCTCCCAATCTGTCTCCTCCTGTCAGATATCCGTGCTCCCAGTCTGCCTCCTCCTGTTAGATATCCGTGCTCCCAATCTGTCTCCTCCTGTCAGATATCCGTGCTCCCAGTCTGCCTCCTCCTGTTAGATATCCGTGCTCCCAATCTGTCTCCTCCTGTCAGATATCAGTGCTTCCAGCTTGTCTCTTCCTGTCAGATATCAGTGCTCCCAATCTGTTTCCTCCTGTCAGATATCAGTGCTTCCAGTCTGTCCCCTCCTCTCAGACATCAGTGCTCCCAGTCTGGCTCCTCCTGTCAGATATCAGTGCTCCCAATCTGTCTCCTCCTGTCAGATATCAGTGCTCCCAGTCTGTCTCTCCTCCTGTCAGATATCAGTGCTCCCAGATTGTCTCCTCCTGTCAGATTTCAGTGCTATAAGTCTGTCTCCTCCTGTCAGATATCAGTACTCCCAGTCTGTCTCCTCCTGTCAGAAATCAGTGCTCCCTGCCTGTGTCATCCTGTCAGATATCAGAGCTCCTAGTCTCTCTCCTTCTATCAGATATCAGGGTTCCCAGTCTGTCTCATCCCATCAGAAATCAGTGTTCCCAGTCTGTCTCCTCCTGTCAGAAGTCAGTGCTCCCTGCCTGTGTCTTCCAATCAGATATCAGAGCTCCCAGTCTTTCTCCTTCTGTCAGATATCAGTGTTCCCAGTCTGTCTCATCCTGATCAGTACTCCCAGTCTGTCTCTTCCTGTCAGAAATCAGTGTTCCCAGTCTGTCTCCTCCTGTCAGATATCTGTGCTATAAATATGTCTCCTCCTGTCAGATGTCAGTGTTTTAAGTCTCTCTTCTCCTGTCAGATGTCAGTGTTTTTAAGTCTCTCTCCTCCTGTCAGATATCAGTGTTTCCAGGCTGCCTCCTCCTATCAGATATCAGTGCTCCCAGTCTGTTTCTAATGCAGACACCTGATCATTCTCCAGTTTCTGCTTGCATTTTTCATGCTGAGACTTCTCTTACCACCTTCCTATTGGATCTGTGCCCTCTGTATGGGATCTCTGTCCTCTTTATGGGATCTCTGCCCTCTCTATGGGATCTCTGTCCTCTCTATGGGATCTCTGTTCTCTCTATGGGATCTCTGTTCTCTCTATGGGATCTCTGCCTCCTGTATGGTATCTCTGCCCACTGTATGGGATCTCTGTCCTCTGTATGGGATCTCTGTCCTCTGCATGGGATCTCTTCCCCCTGTATGGGATCTCTGCCCCTGTATGAGATCTCTGTCCTCTGTATGAGATCTCTGCCCTCTGTATGGGATCTTTGCCCCCTGTATGGGATCTCTGCCCCCTGTATGGGATCTCTGTCCTCTCTATGGAATCTCTGTCCTCTGTATGGGGGATCTCTGCCCTCTCTATGGGATCTCTGCCCTTTCTATGGGATCTTTGTCCTCTGTATGGGGAATCTCTGTCCTCCATATGGGATCTCTGCCCTTTGTATGGGATCTCTTTCCCCTGTATGGGATCTCTTTCCCCTGTATGGGATCTCTGCCCCCTGTATGGGATCTCTGCCCCGTGTATGGGATCTCTGCCCCTGTATGGGATCTGTCCTCTGTATGGGATCTCTGCCCTCTGTATGGGATCTCTGCCCCCTGTATGGAATCTCTGCCCCCTGTATGGAATCTCTGTCCTCTGTATGGGATCTCTGCCCTCTCTATGGGGGATCTCTGCCCTCTCTATGGGATCTCTGCCCTCCGTATGGGATCTCTGCCCTCTCTATGGGATCTTTGTTCTCCGTATGGGATCTCTGCCCTTTGTATCGGATCTCTGTCCCCTCTACGGGATCTCTGTCCTCTGCCCTCCATATGGGATCTCTGTCCTCTGTATGGGATCTCTGTCCTCCATATAGGGGATCTCTGCCCCCTCTATGGGATCTCTGCCCTCCATATAGGATCTCTGTCCTCTCTATGGGATCTCTGCCCCCTGTATGCGATCTCTGTCCTCTCTATGGGATCTCTGCCCTCCGTATGGGATCTCTGTCCTCCGTATGGGATCTCTGCCCCCTGTATGGGATCTCTGTCCTCCGTATGGGATCTCTGCCCCCTGTATGGGATCTCTGTCCTCTGTATGGGATCTCTGTCCTCTGTATGGGATCTCTGTCCTCTGTATGGGATCTCTGTCCTCCGTATGGGATCTCTGCCCCTCTATGGGATCTCTGCCCTCTCTATGGGATCTCTGCCCTCCATATGGGATCTCTGTCCTCTGTATGGGATCTCTGCCCTCTGTATGGGATCTCTGCCCCCTGTATGGAATCTCTGTCCTCTGTATGGGATCTCTGCCCTCTCTATGGGGGATCTCTGCCCTCTCTATGGGATCTCTGCCCTCCGTATGGGATCTCTGCCCTCTCTATGGGATCTTTGTTCTCCGTATGGGATCTCTGCCCTTTGTATCAGATCTCTGTCCCCTCTACTACGGGATCTCTGTCCTCTGCCCTCCATATGGGATCTCTGTCCTCTGTATGGGATCTCTGTCCTCCATATAGGGGATCTCTGCCCCCTCTATGGGATCTCTGCCCTCCATATAGGATCTCTGTCCTCTCTATGGGATCTCTGCCCCCTGTATGCGATCTCTGTCCTCTCTATGGGATCTCTGCCCTCCGTATGGGATCTCTGTCCTCCGTATGGGATCTCTGCCCCCTGTATGGGATCTCTGTCCTCCGTATGGGATCTCTGCCCCCTGTATGGGATCTCTGTCCTCTGTATGGGATCTCTGTCCTCTGTATGGGATCTCTGTCCTCTGTATGGGATCTCTGTCCTCCGTATGGGATCTCTGCCCCTCTATGGGATCTCTGCCCTCTCTATGGGATCTCTGCCCTCCATATGGGATCTCTGTCCTCTGTATGGGATCTCTGCCCTCTGTATGGGATCTCTGCCCCCTGTATGGAATCTCTGTCCTCTGTATGGGATC